CCCCCCCCAGACCTCATCTGCTCCATGCCCTTACCTGCAAGTGGAGTTTTGATTGTGCTGCACAGCAGGTGAGGGAGCAGAAAAAGGTGATGGAAGAAGAATGGTGGTAATGGCTGCTAATTCTACATCTTGAATTTTAAACACAGACAGTCTGTCAGCATGTGGCCTCCCGGCAGTCTTAAACTCAGATGCGTGCCACTGATGTCAACAGGATGTGTCCCCAATGAGGGTGCATGGGGTTGTCGGCATGAGCGGTTCGTGATGTACTTTGTACAATTGATTTTAGTCAGATTTTAAGAGTGCCTAACTCTCTCAGGACTGTACCTTTCGTGTTTTCCATCTTATTCAGAACTTCTATTTATATCCTGACATAGACATAAGGAGGCTTGAGAGAGTAAATGCACAAAATTACAGTAAGACTGAACTAGACATAAGGATGCTGTTGAAGGGAATGGTAGAGGAGAAAATAACAAAAACACTGTGGAAGATAATGGTCATAGTTAATATTTAATACTACCATCTGCAAAGTTTTACTATTAACATTCAGGGTGTATAGTCGGTTATCAGAGGTAAATTATTGCCATTGCCCATAAGATAGGAAAGTAATGAGCAACTGAAATGAATATTTATCATCAAAAATGATCAGTGACTTTTTGAAGTCTACTGAAGCTGTGCAAAATCTTATATTGTTATTGCATGAACTATGTATTCTGTGGTGGGTTACCTCATGTCTTGCAATCCTGGCTGCTGCATCAGGAAGGGGCAATTTGTAGGGGAAAAGGAGCGTGCAAGAGAAGGGAAATTAACCTTCTCTTCCACTCATTTTACACCACCTCCCTGGCCACTTTTTCCTCAGCTGGAGATCGAAGCCCAGATTTACAATGAATCTCTAGCTTGGGGAAAGTAGGTGAGGAAATGGTGAGGAATGGTTAACACACCCTACTTTCTCCTGAATTTTCTCTATGGCAGGTCACCCCTTTCCAATGACATTATGAAAAGGAGGTGGTTTTTGGGTTTCGAGGTGCAATGCAAAACTGTGTAATTCTATTCATAGTCTCCCAAAACGGTAAAGCTGTGATTCAGAGAAAACTGTGTACACACATAAATACTTGTAAATGCACATAACAGGTTGGAGCTAGTCTAAATTTTCCAGTGGCAAAACTTTCCTGCCTTCCTCTTCTCACTACGACACAATGATATCCATGAAATGCTGCTCCTGGATGACAGGAGAACCCGAGGAATGTCACAAGGACAGTCTGAAGAAGGATGGGGGTATCAGCAAATATTGGCAATTTAGTCTGGATCCAATCCAGAGAGTGACTAATTTTTACTTCTGGGAGTAGTCTCTGGTGCTCCATGAATGCTGCCTTGGCTTTAGGGGAACCGTTGCTGGGAAGGGAAAGCTATGTGGGCTTTGGGTCTCAGGAGAAGAATCCAGTTGCAAGGAATGATAAACGGTCAATGAAAACTTTACATATCAAAAGTATGGCAGTATGTATCACCAGACCGTAGAATGTATTACTGAAATTGTAAACTGTGTTTACAAAGTAATGTGTTTGCTTTAATAAATAATGGTCCTGGTCACACTGGCCAGAGAATGCGGGGGGAGGGCATGGCTTTTCGCTCTGCTGCACTTGTGACCCGGCCGAACGCGATCAGATGCGACGGCAGGGAATCAGGGGTAGCATTTTGTCAGCGCATGTTTCCGGCACGCTTCATGCGGCGCTGGAGTGATCAGACGGAGGATGTCCGTCTGTGGCCCATTGCAAGCAGATAATACTGGTGTTTCTGCAGTAGCTTTGAACTACGGATCTTTGGCGGGATGCGATGGCTTGCCAACGGGTGCGCGACGCTTGCCAGATGTGCTGGTGTGATCGCGCCCGTTAAATCCGCCTGGCATCCATGAGTATCCCGCGGCAACTTCTGTGTATGATTGGAGCCAAGGTAAAGTTTTGGAAATGACTGCCATAGAATTTTTATCTGGGTCCTAGGGACAAAGTAGGATATACATCTACATACATGTAGTCTTATTTAGAAAAGGTGCATAATTTCCTAGCCAGCTTTGTGCTCAGATTCTGCAGTTAAGAATCTTGAATCTTGTCCATGATTTCAGCTCTTGAGAAGCTTTCAATTTTTTAAAAGCCAAGTTTCTAGACCTTGTTGTTGCAGACGGTTTCTTCATAATGTGAAAACTAGAAAGAACCTCTAGTGGCTGGAGAATGAATAGTAGATTCATCTCTTGCATTAGGCTTAATGTCAATCTTGTAAAAACCTCTTTCCACTTAAAAACAATAATGTATGATATGCCAAAACATACAGCACATAGGAAAACAACATTTGTTTTACAGATTAGGTATTTAAAGATACAAAGAATCATCGTTGGTACAATAGTTTGCACTTTGTCTTTTCAATGCTATATACTTAGGCTCCTAAATTTATCAGCCTAACAGTAATCTAACTGGTTAAATACCAGTGGGTATTTTTCTTTATTTTACTTTTAGACAGTTTAAACTTATCACCTTGTTAAAAACCAAAAATCAAAATCAGAGGCAGTAAACCGAAGTTGGAATTAGAACATGCTATCTTAACCTTTTGGCTCTTGAGATAAAGGTATCACTATTTAAAGCATGAAAGATGCTAACAGCCTATTCTTTTGATAAATACTCATGGTCTTTTCAAACAACTCAAAGAAAGATCATATGCTTGTCTTTAATCGGCTCCACTCTATTGATATAGTGTACAAAGTGTACCTTTTTGGAAATGCAAAGATGATTTTATAGAGCCATAGTTGTCAGCAACACGCGCATCCCCCCTAGCCATTTCTGTTCCTCTTAGTCTCCAGTCAAAAGTGCTTGAGAAATGCAGCCACCTCTGTAGGACTGCATTTGAAAGTGATTAAAGGTAAAGGTAAAGGTTTCCCTTGCTCGAAAGCTAGTTGAATCCGACTCTAGGGGGCGGTGCTCATCTCCGTTTCCAAGCCAAAGAGCCAGTGCTGTCCAAAGATGTTTCCATGGTCATGTGGCCAGTATGACTAAACACCAGGGTGCACGGAACACTGTTACGTTCCCACCGAAGTGGTACCTATTTATCTACTTGTAATTTCTTGCTTTCGAACTGCTAGGTTGGCAGAAGCTGGAAGTAGAGACGGGAGCTCACTCCATCACGCAGAGCTAGGGTCTCAAACTGCTGAACTACAGACCTTCTGGTCTGCAGCTCAGCATATTAACCTCTGAGACGCCGCAGCCCCTTGAAAGGAGTTACCACACTGCTAATTTCATGTATGAATTGGTCCTG